GATGGTCGCATTGAAAGCACCCGGTTTCATTAAACAAATAAACAAAAAGGCTAACAGTTGGTTTTGCAGCAAGTTATTTCATGCATAGCCTAATGTTAGATTTCTGTGCTTAAGAATGCCTTCAAGACAGAGGAGACTGAAGCAGGGAGAGAGATATCTGAAGGAGGCAGCTAAAAGGACTGCAACTTTGCAGGGCTGGATAAAAGGAGCCAGCAGGGCAGCTGCAGGTGAAGCACTGTGATTATGTCAAGCACATAATTTGGAGTACACTAATAACTCATTAAAACAAATATTTTAATCAGTGATAAATGCAAAGTCTCTATCTGTGCTGAGTGAAGTTAATATTGCTCTGTTGGGGGCTAACCCCAAGCCTCCAGTTCAGAGCGCATTTGAGAGCTTGGTGATCTAGTGAAATACTACTAATAGCTGTAGATGTATATGGATAAGATGGCCAGATAACTGGTTCACAAAGGCTTTACAACAGGTTGTAAATATTCTATACAAGTAGGCAACATATTTATTTTCACATGAATGACTAGATATAACCTTCTCCAATCTAGAATGTAACTGACTGCACTAGTGTTCAGTTGTCTTTGTTTGTATAGAAGTAAAGAATTAAGTGTATATGTTACTTAATTCTGGAGTCACCCGTTTTCAGGGAGCTAGTTAGCATGATAGCATGTCCGGGCGGCACACGGCATATGGGACGGAAAACTTTTTCCAACTACCTGGAGAAAGAATATACAAAAATGGAAAGCCAGCTAATATCGATGCAATCCAGATTGCATATAATGCATGTCAAGTTGATCACCAGATTGTATTATTCTCCAATGCAATAACAGTACTGAAATGAAGGCTATAAGGGCATTAATGGGAGACATTTTTTCAAGTAACAAAAACGTTACTTTTCACAGTAACGCATTACTTTTGGGTGTAAGTAACTAGTAAAGTAACTGAGTTACTTTTGACATGAAGTAACTAGTAATGGTAACTAGTTACTGGTTTTCAGTAACTAGCACAACACTGGTCACTAGTCACTACCAAGCCCCCAGGAAGTGCGCCGTACTCAGATGAAAATATTCATGCTGGCCAAACGGCGGTACTACACTTCCGTTTGGTTGCCAGCCCCGCAAACACTTTTTCCCATTGACTTACAAGGGGAAAGAGTGGTCTGTAACTCGTTGGATAATTTTTTTTAAACTAAATAAACTACCCAGTATGAACACTTGTATAGCCCTTATTAAAAACATTCGTTTCTCAAGTTGTAAAAATGTGCTAATAACGTTATTCTGAGAGTTATTTCCCTCTGCATTATGAACGAGCATCTAACCCACGGGACCGCGCCGCCCAGCACGTTCATGTTACGTGTCCCGACCAATCAGAGCACACTGTGCTCACAGGGAGGGTGGGGGCTGGAGCTATTGGAGCTACAACGAGCCGTTAAAGGCAGAGAGTGAAATTCAGTGAATACACGTAGTTTACAGAGATGCTGTTTGAGAAACCAATGTGAGTTGCGTTTATCTTTACCCATGGATAAGAACGGATCCATATCGTCTTACTGCCATCCCACGGAGCTGTAATAATGGATATATTGCACATGTTTGCTGTAATTCATTATCATACTACATGGGCTGTATGATTACATCTTGTACCGTAAATGTTGTATTAAATAAAGTTAATATTACCGACATTATTAACGTCCCTGTAGCTTCGTATTGCACTAAGAAGCTTATTGCACTGTATATAAATAGGCTATATATAAATATATATATATATATATATATACAGTGCAATAATTATTTCATGCTAAATGAAGCTCTGTTGGATATCACTAGATCCTGTTACAGCGTAATGTAAGTACATAACGATTGATGTGTACATTAGCATCATTACTAGCTAGCCGCTAGCTGCTAATAGCCTCGTTCATATAAAATCCATGATAACAACAATCCATTACCATGCTGTCATGAACGCGCGGTGCTGTTACGTGTACGCAAATGGACGTGCTTGATGTGAACGAGCATTTTGGTTAAAGTTGCGCATGCTCTATGAGTGCACATACGGGTACTTCTCAGGCATGCTGGGTAATCTGTGACGTTTCACTCTCTCAAAAGTTGGGCCATTTTATCATCATGCGCTAATGAGCAGCTCTCATAGGAATGAATGAGGCCCCGCCTCCCACGCTGTATCCAGTTCTTATTATACATCCATGGTCACTACCCGATCCGTCCCCCTGCCCGATCGGTACTGCGCATGTGCGAGATGGTCCGCCATATTGGACAACTCTGGACGGCAACCCAAGATGGACACTTGACACAGTGGCTTTTAGCAAAGCTCAAAAAGAAAACTCGAGAGAGATGAGTTATTGTTATTACAACGTGACTTCACTATTATTTAACAACTCTTTTTATTGGGTTCTTTTATTTGGGGTTAAGTACATTGAAATGGATTTAACTTCTGTTAGACAGCTATCATACTGAATACGTATTTACTGTGAATGCAAAAATGTATGGCATATGGCTGTCTGGTATTATATAGGCTACAAATATTTGTAGGAATATTTATATTTTGTTGCATGGTTGAAAAATGTTTTGTATCTTGTATTTTGAGGTGATACTGTGACACATAAATAATGCGTTATATCCTGATACGGTCCCGCACCAGCGCATTTTCTTGCAGGTGAATAACCTAACCCCCGGCTCGATGAGCGAACTATGGATAAATTAAAGAAAATAAAAGTATCTAAGGAAAACAGAGGATGTAATCCTGCGTAGACAGATGTATATATATATATATATATATATATGCTTGCACATGTGCTTTCACAGCTAACGATGCAGGCGTCCGTTTGATAGAGAGAAGTTGTTTCATGTTGTTTCAAAGGTGCTTCAGCCTTTACGTAGGCATATTGGAGGAAAACCACGGAAGAGGAAGACAGCTGACGATCTACAGTCATAATTTAATCAGTTAACTATTTTTAGGGTGCAGATATGTTTTATTTATTTCAAAGTGGGCCCATTTTAATTGTATTTATGTTCTTCAAATGTGCAGAGGACTCCTGCTGTGTTTAATTTATTTTAAAGTAGGCCTGTGTATACGTGTACACCTGTGTACACTCATATTACGCCACTTCCATATTTATTTACGTTATACGTAAATCGTAATTTCACTTTTACCCATAAACACTTTAAAAGACGTGCCAGAAATTACATTATCAAGCAGCAGGCTAAATAATGTAATTAATTTCAGAGTAAAATTACAGGGGGCGCTTCAAAATCCGGCAGCTCTAGCACCTACACTGCCGGATATGGAACCCCCTCTTTAGTTTTTCAACTGCTGGGCCCAGAGTAAAATGCTTTGGTGAGCATAAACTAGAGGGGAACAGGCAACACCAGTGTGATTTTGGTGAGTGTATGACTGTCCTGGCCAAAATTACAGGGGGCGCTTCAAAATCCGGCAGCTCTAACAACTGCACTGCCGGATATGGAAGCCCCTCTTTATTTTTGTACCTGCTGGGCCCAGAGTGAAATGCTTTGGTGAGCACAAACTAGAGGGGAACAGGCAACACTAGTGTGATTTTGGTGAAGTTGTGACTGTCCTGGACAAAGTTGTAGGGGGGGTGCCATATCTGGCAGGAGAAATACCTGCTCTGCTGAACATGTTATAGAGAACAGTGCATATCTAAAATAAAGAACATTAATAGTGTGATATAGGCACAGATATAAGATCAATAATACACTTTATTTTAGGGCACCTTTCAAAGCATTCAATGTCACCTTAAAATACAATAAAAAATAAAATATGAGTGGCATTACAATACAAACATGTGTTGAGTAGGAAACCACAGAGGAAAATTACATTCAAAGGAGCAATTAAAGCGAGTGAAGCCAGTTTGAACACATTATCTTTTAGGCTTGCTTGAAAATAACACAGTGTCTAACATATGTTATATCATTACTGTCATATCATTGCTTACTATTCGTAGTTATCAGACACTTAAACAACAGAGAAGGTTTTAAGAAATAGGACTATACTGACAAATGACATATTATCCTGTCATTGTCTGTTCTGTAGGAAGGAGGAATATAGCAGAGTAGGACTGCACTCAAAAACGGAAGTTTGTTCCAATACGAACATTGTGACTATCTGAAAAGTGTCCTTAAAACGAGCCTCCTCGCAATTGTATGCACATTATTTATTCAGCCGTTTGCTGTTTAATCTGATGGGAAATATATCATTCAAAAGAGAGAAAAAAGCTTTTTTAACTAGACGAACGCTCAATACAGGCGATGACGTCACGTTTGCGCGTCCCCATGAACAGGGCTTCAATCTACGGCAAGGGTTCAATCTACGGCACAACAACGGCCTCCCCTCTCTCCGGCAGAAACAGGAAATGCCGTAACTGTATGTAACAACGGTTTCAAATCAGCATCTCTTAGACAAAAAGTTTAAATTAATTACTCAAATAAAACTCCCAACATCTTTCATTGTGTTTCAAAGCTCTTTTAGTTTTAAACCTGATGTTTATAAGCTTCTTCCTTTTTGCAACGGTCTGTAAATATACACAACTTTATAATAAAATGCACAATTTTACCTTTTTCTAGACTAAACACAGGTTTGATCCTAAGTTAAACACATATGAGGTCATCATGAGGTTGTTAACATCGTAGTTTATCAGTGGATGTTTGCTGGAACTACTTTTTAGCAGTTTGTTTCCCGACGGACACACACAGCGTGACTCCGGTCAGGTAGAGACCCATCTATGTAGAGACCCTTTATATATACAGTCTATGATAGAGACCGGTCTCAAGCAGGTCTCAAGTCAGCACCGCTGCAGACTCGCTGTTTGAGGGCTTGATAGCTCACTCCCCCTCCACACCCATGCTCCACACTCGTTGCTTTGGAACAGCCCTTAATATGGCGGACCCTCCGCGTGAACGCGCAAACGGAGGGGTAGGGTGTAGGGGGCGGTTTGGGATTGGGCCTGAGAATCCTTCTGAGAAACGGCCCGTGTGACCCGGATATTAAATAAGGACCCGCCTCAATTCTTCGTCCTGACGAATCAGTGATCGTATTTACATCTGAGTCCTGGCCAATCAGCAGTTAGTAAATATTTCCGGCCGGAGAAGCAGCGGTATTTTGTAGTGTACGACTTAATAACGTATGTTTAAGGCTTTTAACTTCAATAATGCCGTATGCTAACCAGCCGACGGTGAAAATCACAGAACTGACAGACGAAAATGTCAAATTTATCATTGAAAACACAGATTTGGCGTGAGTATTCACTTCTTTGTCCATTCAAGGAGAGCGTGTGTGGCAGCCATTATTCCTCTGATCCAAACTGATTTTAGGAGACATTACCTTACATGTTAAATAACTTCTCCAAGTTAAAATGTTACAAAATAAAGTGAGTTTAGATGTTAGAAGTAAAAGTGTTTTATAATAACTATCAAACAGGTATGTTCCGTTAAATAACACAATGTCCCATTAAAGGGAAAAGCAAGTTGTCTTTGAATTTGGATACATTAGGTTTGAGAAAATGGCAGCATTAATGAGGAGTTAAGTGTCATTTATGTTACCTATTATAACCTCCGTTGTTCTACTTTTCAGGGTCGCAAACTCTATCCGCCGTGTCTTCATGTCCGAGGTCGCTACGATAGGTAAAGTGTGCTCTGGAATTGTTGTTTTCATCGTGTGACTGACGCCATGCAAGTTTACATGACACTCATCATTAACTCACTGTGATTTGGGGATACCCGGATGTAAATAGCCAACAGCCCCATTCAGGAAAGCACAGGTGTTATTAGTACCTGTAGCCCCTCTGCACTCAGTACTTTATTATGCTTAAGTTAATGTTAGATGTTAACTCACTTTGGACTGGGGGCTTGATTCCTTTTTTTCTAGGCAACTACCTTAATATAAACACAGAGATGTGTTTATATTTTATTGCAATAACAATAACATCTTTTATTGCACAGTACAGCATTTCATTTAACATTATTTTTTGTCTTACCTTTTTTGTATTATAAATGTATATGGTTTACTGATGTCTGCATTTTACATGCAGTGTTGTACAACTTGCAACACTTTTGTATTTTATTCTTCTTGCACTATTTATGATTTTATTTATATAAATGTCTTAAGTATACTGTATTTCACAATGCTGGAGGAGCCTGGGACTTCAGATTTTCATTGCAAACACCTACGCTGTAGCTTTTGTACATATGGCGATACATCCTTTGATCATTTGAAAATTAGGGTTTGTCCTGTTAAGGGTGAATAATGATACCCTGCTACTAAATAGAGAAAATAGCAAACAAAACCCCAGATCTATACCATATGATATTTTTAAATAATTGACCCAGACATGTATTTTGAATTTTAAGAATAATAGTTTATTGACTGTTTTGCCAATTCTCTAATAAAATGTACTGTTTTTAAGTTAAAGGTGGGGTATGTAATTTTGGAGAAACCAGCTCGAGTGCGCCAGAATTTGAAAATACACTGCCGGAAAAAATCTGCCACTTCCTTACAGAGCCCCTCCTCCAACACACGAACAAGCACGTGACCAATGAGGGCACGAGATCAGTTTGTGCACAGATGGAAAGCTGACAGGCAGGTAGGCCATCCAGTTACTTTAGCCGGGCCGGCTAAAATGATTGGTCGTGCTTTTTACAGCGCCACGGCTTCCACAGATTTTTAATGGATTTTTTATGGATCTTTTGTCAAAGCACTTAAAGAGCCTGTGACATGAGTTTCCCCCATCATCCAAACCCATCAATTTTAGTAAATATTGTCCCCTTGAAAACCGTTACTGAACTGATTTTGGATATTTGTACTTTGATAACCATTAATTTGTCCTTCAATGTTGACCATTTCCTGGATCTTCTCGGGGATTCTTCAAGTCCTGCCAAATTATGTGTGACATCATTGCGGGCACAGCGCTCCAGCTGCAACGTTCAGGATCCCAGCATCTGCATGTAAACGCACGATGGCGCACACAGCAGCAAGCTCAGACAGCGATGACAGTTTAATTTTGAACGTGTCTGAGAGCTCATATGAGGCTGAAGGATCGGTTTATGTTGTATCTGTTAGAAGTTTAGGAATTAGGTGCGTCAATATGGGCGATCATACGGTCATGTAGCCAGTGGGACTACAAATCATCCCGGGACTCTCGACCGGCCCACTTCGGTACCGCTAGTAAATTGTCAACGGGGGGAGTGGGGGATGTGCTAGTGACTTATCCGACCGGCCCACTTCGGTACCGGCCCATCGGGATTCGTCCCGATGGCCAGTCCGCCACTGCACCCAGCCCACGTAAACTGTCAACGGGGGGAGCCTCGCTGCGGGGAAACGGTGGACCTAGTGTCCCGATCGGAGTGGGAATAATAATAATAATAATCCGTGCATTTTATCCATTAATTTCCCCAACATTGTGGTGAAAAAAACACACGTTTAATCCATGTTGGTGTACTACAACTACAAAAAGCATCGGTTTGTTTTCTCATCAGGAAATGCAGACCGGCTCAAACAAACGATTTTTAATGATCATCCTCACGATCATTTAATGTATCATATGTTCACCGAATTGACATGAAAGCACTAATAAATGTAGTTTCATCCACTTGAGTTTACAACTACAAAAATAATCGATTTGTTTTTATATCACATCCTACGGGAGGAAATTCAGCAGCTCTCACTACCGATTTTTAATCCTAATGTAATCATGATCTTCACCACGATCATTTATGTTTATGTTCGCCGAATTGACATGAAAGCACTGACAAATATGAATATACTGTAGTTAACTTCATTAAAACGTTATTAACGTGCCTAAACTCAGTAATTCACCATTTCTACGCATGACAACACACTTTGTCCGTGTTTGGCTCTCTCGCCGCACAGTGAAGCGTTCCCGCATTGACGTCACTTCCGGCTTCCCCCAAAACTTCAAAATGAGTCGAAGGAATTTCCCCGCGATGTTCGAAATTATTGATATTTATCGGAACGGTATCGCACCTTCTTTTTTAAACTGACGGTTCGAGATGAGTCGTAGCCCAATATTTCATTGCACAACAGTTGTTGGGACGCTGTCACAGGCTCTTTAAGATATTCATTGCTATCGGGATGTTAAGAGCATTCCATGGAATATAACAAAAAGTGTATCTCGAGCCGGTTTCTCAAACTTACCTACCCCACCTTTAATAAAAGCATAGAATATATTAATATATATATATATATATATCCCTTTGAAATATGGAAAATGTCCATCAAAAATAATACACAAAATGACTGCTACTAAAAATAGCAAATTCATTAATGAAGACAAACTGCACAATATAATTTACTAAAATCAAAATATTATTTAAAGACACCACTTCCTCAGAGTTCTTGGGTAACATCTCTAATTCATCTTTAATCTACTACTTACTTTAACTAGCGTACTCATAATACACACCGAACCCTTCGTAGTGGGCCCACACACAAATGAAAAAGTGTGCACGTCTGGGAGATGCTCTGTAGCAGTGTGGCCGAAAAGTCCTCAAAAACACATCACTGGCATGGCTTACTTTGGCACTTACTGGAACTAACCCAATGTTATGTTTCTACTGTGACATGTATATGTATTTCTCTGTGGAAACGCAAGTAAAGGGGGGCTCTGCCCAGCCTCCTGTCATATATTCTTATACCTGTGCAGCACCTGAGCAGAGGTGGGAGAAGTACTTGGATCATGTACTTCAGTAAAAGTAGAAGTACCAAAGTGTAGGAATACTCTGTTACAAGTAAAAGTCCTGCATTCAAAATGTTCCTCAAGTAAAAGTAGAAAAGTATTATCATCAAAATATAGTGAAAGTATCGACAGTAAAAGTAGTCATGGTGCAGATTGGTCCATTTCAGAATAATATATATGATATGTTTTCTAATGATTGATCATGAAAGTGTTCTCAAAGCTGGTAAAGGTGCAGCTAGTTTGAATGACTTTGTATACTGCAGGGTAGCTTGTGGATTTACTCCAGGTGGAACTAAAGTCTGATTTAACACTTGATTAGATTTCACATCATTCATCCACATCTGAAAGTAACTAAAAGTATTAAATACATGTAGTGGAGTAAAAGTACACCTTTTGCCTCTGAACTGTAGTGGAGTAGAAGTACAATGTAGCAAAACATGTAATTACTCAAGTAGAGTACAAGTACCTCAAAATTGTTCTTAAGTACAATACTTGAGTAAATGTACTTAGTTACTTTACACCAGGCATCCTCAAAGTCCGGACTCCGAACCACAACTGTCTCTGGACTCTGAGCAAATTATACTTTTCATATACTATCTGTATTATCTGTGTTATCTTTGAGACAACGCAACGAGTCAAAATTCTCCGCTATGTCCACTGCAAACAGCGCTCTGTCTGTCTGTCTGTCTGTCTGTCTGTCTGTCTGTCTGTCTGTCTGTCTGTGTGTGTGTGTGTGTCTGTCAATGCATTGGTCCAATCACATTCAGCATCCCGTCAGCGTTTCCCCCCCCCCCCCCCCCCCCCCCCCACCAACAGTCTGCGAATCAGAGGCACAGTAGGGCGGGTCTTCGCGGAATGCGGGTGGGAAAAATGCGTGTGTGTTTAAAAAAAAAAAAAAAAGCGAGAGTTAACAGCTCATCTAGCTCATCTGTACTGTAGCTAGTAGCCTATAGTTTCACCTACCGGGGACCGCGGGGTGGCATGGGGTGGAAACTGCCACCCTAAAAATAGGCCTTGCCACCCCAGCTGCCACCCCAGTTGGCAGCTTTGTTTTGAAAGAAAAGTTGTGGCTTATCGGACATTTAAAGAGAACGTCTCTAATGTCCGAGTGCAAGTGAATGCAGCACAAGACGCACGTCTTGTAACCCCTGCCCCGGCCCTGGCGCGAGCGTTGAAATATGATTGGCGGCGATTTCATTTGAACGGTACGGCGCAAAACGAGAAGCATTGATTCGGACCCAAGCACTGAAGCAATGAGGTATTTGCGGTCTACAATGACAGAGAAGAGACTGTCAGTTTGGCTGTACTCAGCATGGAATCAAAACGCACTAAAGCTGTTGATCTTAATACGTTTGTGAGGCGTTTTGCTGAACAAAATGGTAATCGCCGCATTCAGCTGTAATAGACATGTCAACTTGATGCTCTGCTCACGGATGAGCATACACAACTATTAAGATGATGACCTTACGTGTGTAAATATATTGTTTTCTTTGAGGGGGTCTGCCCCCAAAAAACTGTTTTAAGTCCTGAGAAAGTCAAATCAGACGGTGTGTAAAACTACACTGCCCAGCCAAAACAAAGTAACCACTTTGATTGAACTAGGCCAGTAGGTAAGGACTTTCCACTGGATAATAACTGAGTATAAAATAATGCATGACTGAAGTGATGGCGACCATGTTGAAGGCAAACAAAAAGAGGAAATAACAGGTCAAATCAAGCAAATCCCCTCTCAGATTCCACAGCAACCAGAAGAACAGAAATACTGGCTGGTGATTTGATTCATCAGCTTTGTGATGGAATAAAAAATGCACAGTGCATTTCCTTAGCTGTGGGTGAGTCCACTGACACCACTGACAATGCTCAGTTGCTGGTGTTTGTGAGTGTTATGATGAGGCAAAGGGGGAGTTTGTTGAAGATGTGTTGGGCCTGACGAACCTCAGTGGACACACAAGGGGGAATACATTTATAAAGCAATAATGGGAATGCTGAATGAAAGAGGGTGCAGCTGCCTTTATTCATAACTGTGCAGCTCTTACACTGCGACTCTGAGGGGTCAAGCACAGAAACAATAACAATGAAAACTGCTGCATATACAGATTATTTTAGTTTTTGCAACCTCGTGTTAAGAATCTTGTTGCAATTGTTTAAAAGTTTGAATGACCGTAATAAACGGACCTTTGTCTTATTAAACTTTTTTTTTTTTACTTTTTTTTTTTTACCTTTAAGATTTGTATTTGAGTACCCCTGCTTTACACCATCATCACCTACATGAACCATACGGTATTCTGCTTGTGCCCTGAAGCAGATTATCTGAAGTGCCATAGAAAAAACGTGACATTTATGAGAAGGAATAGGTATTGGTGTGACTGCATCATTGGAAAATGTAATATCCACATGTGATATGCCTCAGATAAATGTCTAATTAACTTAAACTTGTATCCCTTTTTTTGCAGCGATTGACTGGATCCAGATTGATGCTAATTCATCAGTACTGCATGACGAGTTTATCGCACACAGAGTGGGTATGTGTCACAGTGTGCTGTATTCTCCTCTAATGCTACTTGTAATAAGATGTGTTGTTGCAGTGCGACCAGAGCGTGAAAAGCCTGCTGTTCAACATGAATGTTTCCTCTGCTCTCAGGTCTGATTCCTCTCACAAGCGATGACATCGTTGAGAAAATGCAGTATTCCAGGGTAAGTAACTGAAACGCTGACTTTAATTAAGTGTATTATCTCAACACATTTCACAGTTGAAAACAATGTGAATCTAATATTTTTTTATTTAAACTTAATATAATTTCTTTCAACTAAACTGATACAGTTATGTGAAATCTGTTGACATAATACATTTAATTAAAGTCAAAGTTTCAGTTTTTTCAGTGTACTGCTGTATCAATCCCCTCACCCTTAAATGTAACACCATTATTACAATCAATTGTTCCACGCTCTAAACTCAACTCATATTTAGCTGGAAGTGTTCAGGACTGAGGACCGATCATCCTCAGCTCCTTCTAATGTTCAGCTAATACAGTGGTTCCCAACCTAGGGGGGGGGGGGGCGCAGCGCTATTGCAACGTGATGCTTGGGAAGAAGTTGTAAACAAACATTGTTTGCTTGTAAAATCTATAAAATTGACACATTTTTAACACAACCGGCAGTTAAAAGAAAAGTGGACGAGCTCACGAGAGGCCTTTCAGCGATAATGCCCAAATCAACAAAGTATGATGAGGCATACATCTCTCTCTCTCTCTCTCTCTCTCTCTCTCTCTCTCTCTCTCTCTCTCTCTCTCTCTCTCTCTCTCTCTCTCTCTCGCCTTGACATCTAACGTGGTCGCTCACAGACTCGCTGCAGCGCCGTGCACACAGAAATCTGCCGGTGGAGAACAGAGCGTTCAAAAGTGACACTCTACAGTGCTCGATGTGGTCTGCTCGTTTGCCATAAGTATTTTCGCATTAACGCGGAAACACGAGCAACCTGTCCATCAGCTGGCCAAAAGGCATAATATTAATACGGAGAAATGCACCCTTTTTGACTTCCTTAACTCGGAGTTCTGTTGCCCCAATTACGTGTAAGGTGGGAGAAATACTCAGAACAAGTACTTAAAGGGGACCTATCATGCAAAATGCACTTTTGTACGTCTTTTATTCATGAATATGTGTCCCCAGTGTGTCAGGGAAGTCACCAAGTGTCAGAAAACACAACCCTCTCTATTTTCCTCCATACCCAAATCTCTAAAAACGGGGCTGCAACGGAGCTGATACAGACTGATACAGATTTGAAATTGTTCTGACGTCAGAAACGGGGTGCTCCGCCTATATGGGCAACTCTCCACCTATCAGGGGAATGAGAGGTTGGGCCACGGCCATTGCCGCTCGAAAGCGCTGGAGACGCTGTAGTACATATGCCAGGCCTGTAGTCTGCCACAAAAGCAGCTGTGGCTCTTTTTCTCCCTCCTTGAGGCAAGTGTTTGCTCCTGCTGCTGTAATTCAATGCAATCCCTCCCCGTTGAGGCAAGCGCTGTAATTCTCTCCAGTAGTCCACCAGCAGATGACAAACACCCACCTCTCCGCCTCTTCCAAGGGACGAGGGGACCGTGCGGCAGAGTTTCAGTTATTTTTTTTCGCCGGTCAACATGTCCGTTAAAGTTTAAATCTTCCGGACAAAATTAGAAAAGTGCCGGTCAAAGGTCTTCTTTGTTATTTATTGAGCTTTAAAACAAATGAATAATGACTCAATATAATCATATAAGAATAAAACACGGAGGACGGAGATCTCTTTTCCTCCCCCTCTTCTGACAGCCCAGCAGCTGATCAGAGCATGCTCCCCCTCTCCTGCAGGGGGGCGTGGTCAGCTCATTTGCATTAAAGCTACGTCACAGAATCAGCCTCTGCAAAAACAGGGCTGGAAAGAACAAATAGAGCGAAATGAGGGATGGCTAAAATGCAGGATCTGTTTGGTATTTTGAAAAAAAAACTATATTTATATACTTTATATAGGTATGGCCCTACAATATATTGTTCAAATATAGCATGATAGGTCCACTTTAAGTAAAAGTAGTATACTGCAGGGTAGCTTGTGAATTTACTCCAGGTGTAACTAAAGTCTGATTTAAGACTTTAGTTAGTTACATTATATTTCACATCATTCATCCAGATCTGTAAAGTAACTAAAGGTAAATACACGTAGTGGAGTAAAAGTACACAATTTACCTCTAGACTGTAGTGGAGCAGAATTACAAAGAAGAAAAATACTTAAGTACCTCAAAATAAGTACAGTACTTGAGTAAATCTACTTAGTTACTACCACCACTGCAGGTATGTCATGTGTGCTAGCAGCCCATAATCCCCACTATACATAAAATAAATCAATGTTAATTCTGTTTCCAAGTTGTTTAGTTTTTCCCTTAAAAAATAACAAAAATAACCTATACAAATAATGTTAAAGTACCGGATTGATAAGCAGTATTTGTAATTGTTTAAATTAGGCCTCATTATTTCACAGTGGCACAGGATCATCTGGTACTTTTGTTTTGTTGTTCAATCCATAATCAAATATAACATTCTATTTGGCTCTTCTCTTGTTATTATTAGCAGAGAAAATGTCATGTTTGTACAACTATATACAATTAATTCTACCAATCTCAGTGGGAACCGGGTTGGGGGGGCTCGAAAATATTTCCAATCACCCAAGGGGGGCCTGACTGAAAAAGGTTGGGAACCACTGAGCTAATAAATTCTCACAGTGCTAGTACACACACTGGCTTTTAACATCTTGTTGTCTGTCTATAGTTTCTCTTCTGAATGTTTCCTATTTTAACACTTCCATTTTATAGTTTGTTAAACATCTTTATTCAAAAGAGCCCTGAAAACGTATCCAAGTTCAGTATTTAGTAGTATTTAGTAGGGCTGCTCAATTAATCGTATATTAATCGCTATTACGATTTTGGCTTGCAACGATTATGAAAACAACATAATCGGAATAAAAAGATTTAGATTTTTTTTATTGGTTTTTCAGTTGAATTATACTTAAAGTTCAGGGTAATCAACTGTTAAAAACATACTGTTCAAATTATTTATTGTTTCAATAAATGGATGTTTTCAAAGTAAATGGGTAATCGTTTTTAATAATCGTGATATCAATTATTGACCCAAATAATCGAGATTATCATTTTTGCCATAATCGAGCAGCCCTAGTATTTAGTAAAGAGAAAGTGCAGACAAAAGGCAAAAACATGATAAGTAGGGTAGTAGAGTAACACATTTATTGTCCTGGTAGTGTTTGTTACGTTGTTTCCTGGGGGACAGACATGATTTCCTCTCTGGTCCTCCTGCAGGACTGCACCTGTGATGATTTCTGTCCCGAGTGCTCTGTGGAGTTGACGATGGACGTCCGATGCACTGAAGACCAGACGCGGCATGTCACCTCACGAGACCTTTTGTCCAATAATCCCAGAGTGATCCCGGTGAGTTCTTTCTACGGTTATTGAAGTCATTAGAGGAAAGGGAATCAGAAGAGAATCTGACTGTCATTTTATTGGGCTTTCCAGGTGACTTCCAGGAGTCGAGACAATGATCCCAATGACTATGTGGAACAAGATGGTAAAAGAGGATCTTGTCTGACAATAACTAATAATAAATAATAATCTCTATATTGTCATTTTACCATAATTTTATCCAACATTTAAAACATTTTCCTGACTCTCTGCCCTTCTATCTGACACAATATAGACATTATACTGGTGAAGCTCCGTAAAGGTCAGGAGGTGCGGCTCAGGGCGTACGCAAAGAAAGGCTTCGGTAAGGAGCACGCCAAGTGGAACCCCACAGCGGGGGTGTCCTTCGAGTACGACCCCGACAACTCACTGAGGCACACAGTGTTCCCCCGGCCTGAGGAGTGGTATGAGATGATTTAGTAAAGTTCAAGTTAAATGTATCAACTTAAACAATGACTGGATGATGAATTGACGCATGTATCACTCTGATTCTCAGGCCAAAGAGTGAATACTCAGAGATTGAGGAGGATGAGGTGCAGGCTCCCTATGACCCCAATGGGAAGCCAGAGAGGTGAGGAAAAAATGTTTCACACTCTTGAGTTAATGAGGGAACATGTACGTGTGATTTGTAGATATGTTGGCCAATGGGAAATGCATGCAGCTCTATGAATAAAAAAAACAAGATAGCACTTTGAAATTCATTGCTCTATTTCAATAAATGCTGTTATAATGGAGTGGTGCAGTGATGACTTATTTTTGTAGCCCGATTTGAAAGTTAGCATCCCAAATGCTCCTTCATCAAAAAAAAATATACATGATTTTTCCGTTGGATGAATATTATTCATATATTATTGTGATGTTATTTTTATGTTGGAAAACAAAGCATGAATATCTCTTTAGCTTTTGTTAACTACAGACCTTATTTCAGGCTTCTAACTCAAAACACATTCAATAAACACTGACTTGGACACAAGGGAACCGAAGTGGTAAAATGCTAACTCAGTTTCAGGTTTTTAGGACTCCCCTGCACCACTCTCTCTATCTGATACCAAATAATATGTTTTCGTCAAAATATCTTTTGTTACACAAATATTTATCGGCTTTGAATTAGTGTATGATCTGTTAAAATAAAAAAAAGATAATGCGTGTGTCTAAAGTGCTCTCGGGATATTCCCCCTCAGGTTCTTCTACAACGTGGAGTCGTGCGGCTCTCTGCGGCCGGAGACCATCGTCATGTCGGCGCTGGCTGTCCTGAAGAAGAAGCTGAGCGACCTGCAGACTCAGCTGAGCCACGAGATCCAGAGCGACGTGCTCACCATCAACTGAGGGCCCCTCCCTCACAGAGAAGACCTGCATTCACACAGCTATATATTAAACGGAGGACGGATTCAGCGCTATTCAGGTCACATGTTCTTGGATCTGTATGTTATCAAGGAATATGTGGACATGTATTCCTGAAAGCAGAGATTGGAGCTTCTTCTGTCAAAGCATCTGATGCATGGTCCGTGTCTGTCAGGGAGTTTGTGTCACAATGATACAAATGTGATTTTGTTGTTGGCAGTGTTACACTGTCCGATTATTATTTTGATAAATGTTACTTTTGAAATAAATGTGTTTTAGGAATATGGTGTACTAATTGTTGCTAAAAGTTTTTTAGTTTTTCACAAATGTAAATGTTCAAACACCTGGATAATCGGAAAACAATCCTATAAGCTTCTTAACAAGAGAAAAGCGATATGTTTAATGTTAAACCGTTTGCAAAAGAAAAAATTACATTTATTTTTTGGACATTAAATGTATTTTCAAATCTTATTCTGCTGTATAGTTTGGTATGGGATTAGTTTTGTATCATAAAGATAAAGCAACACTTTCTCAGAATAAAGCAAAACTGAGTTTAAAAGGAAAAAAAACTAAGTCAAGCAAAATAAATTTCAAAAATAAAACTATAAGTTGCAAACAAATCATTTGTGTAATCATGTAAACTATAAGTCTTTTTTCTTTGTTTTAACATAGGTTTTTGTTTGCAGTTCTTGTTTCTCAATGATCAGACTTTTGCTCTCGCTGCAGCTTTCTCTTTTGCGCTCCCTCATTTTTTGTTTGAGATTTTGACACAAACATCCCAGGTGGGCGGGACTTTCAGGGGTGTGTCCCCATTGGCTACTCAGCTTTTGAGTGACAGCCCACTACACCACAGATCATACAGTGCAACTCATGCAGCAAACTCCGGAGACCACTCGGCCACGTTAGTGTCGGTGTCTCCTGGGGAGTTTCATGAACATATCGGACTTATCTTATGGATTGCTGTGCATTATATTTCTGATGTGTAGTTCATACTTTATTCCAACTTTAAATATTGTAATACCTGAACACACTGCTGCTGTTAAATAATTTCCCAATTTGGGATTGATAAAGTGTCTGTCTGTCTATTTATTTTATAGATTAAAAAAACACATCTATGTATTTTCAAGCTAAAGGTGATACACAATATAAACTGTATACTATTATTTTTCAAAGACATGTTACATTTCAAAAGCATATATTGCTATGTTTAGGACAAACAATTAAAGACTGCTTTAGAGCTGAAGCATTCATACACAATGGATACAAACTGTGTTGTCTCATTCTATATCCTGTGAGAAAATGATATACATTTAGCATGAAAAATTCGACATACTATTCCTCAGGAAGATATGAATAATCAACAGATTGGAATGGAATCTCTAACATTTTCATGTAGAATAAAGACAAAAGAGTGATTATACAAATTACATGTATTGAAATTTGAACCAGAAGATGAAGTCTCAAATAATGTTTTAAATAAAAGGGCATAAAACAAAAAGGTGGATAATAATAAAATCTATTAAATGTATATGTAAAGACATTTGGTCAAATGAAATGACACTGAGCCAGTGATAACAGTAACGCCAGCGTGGATGAAGCTGGTGCAGGTCTTTCTTCATGCCCCCCCCCCCTCCGTGCTGTCCCCTCAGAGGAAGTGGGAAAACGGGATAAGACTCTGGACGCCACGCTGTCTCAATGATCCACACTGTTAATATGAGAGGAACATAAATGTTTTAGGAAATGAAAAATATGAAGTTAACAAATAAAACACAGCTCATGGACGGTAGGTTTTCCTACAAAGTTAACTCAGCCTCCATTGATTTTCATATCAAATTAGCGTGTTAATAAAATAAGCTATCATGGCTTATACTTGCATATCTAAACAGAATCATGAAAACCTGTTGGTAGAGTCAGGCACACGAGTCCGTTTGAGTGTGTGCGCCGGTGTCTGAACGCTCACTCACTGCTAGCTATGTAGCTAACTGTTAGGCTACTTAGCTTGCATTGTTATGGATCTAAAGCTAGCACAAGCTAACTTTCATAGCACAGCTTTACTTCTCACTTAACACATAAAGAAACAGACAGTATAGTATAGCACAAACAACACAAATGATCAATACTTATATATATTTTCACTTGTAGTATTATAATAATTGAAATGCTGGTTCTTCTGGGGATCTTCTGTCCACGCTCAGCTAGCTACCGCACCGCAGCTTCCTGCACTGTACAATCGCTGGAGGACTGGGCTGTCACTCAAAAACTGAGTAGCCAATGGGGACGCACCCCTGAAAGTCCCGCCCACCTGGGAGGTTTGTGTCAGAATCTCAAACAAAAAATGAGGGAGCGCAAAAGAGAAAGCTGCAGTGAGAGCAAAAGTCTGATCATTGAGAAAGAAGAAACAAGAACTGCAAACAAAAACCTATGTTAAAACAAAGAAAAAAGACTTATAGTTTACATGATTACACAAATGATTTGTTTGCAACTTATAGTTTTATTTTTGTAATGTATTTTATTTTGCTTGACTCAGTTTTTTTTTCTTTTAAACTCATAGTTTTGCTTTATTCTGAAAAAGTGTTGCTTTATCTTTATGATACAAAACTAATCCCATAGTTTGGTCGATTGAGGATCTAAACAAGAGAAAAATTGCCAGCCATACAAATGATGTCTTTATGCTTATTACCATCCTATCAAATCTGTATAGTGACTTTTGGGTTCATGGTTAATTTTTGTTAAAAGGCAACTATGGCAAGAGTAATAGTGAAGCTATAATAAGCTATAGAACTCATTTATGTTGAGTTGTGAAGTAAGCTTAAAGAAATGCCATGAAGTACGGTGGCCGGCAGGTGCAAACGCGGAACAACGGCCCAAAACGCATACATTAGCAGGAAACACCTGCAAATAATGAAATGAAAAACAAACAAACCCTGAAAACAAATACAACAAAAAACGCTGCATTTACAGAAATGATGCAAACTAAATACAACACACAAACCCCGAAAACAAACGCAACAAAAAAACGCTGCACGATATGCAAAGTCCAAAGCACGTACAAATCCCAAAACACATCCAAAAAAACCATTCCGTATGTGCTCCAGGCCTCTAGGGAGCACGCTACGTGGAACAGATTGATGTATGACCAGACATAGAGAGAACGAACAAGAGTGATGGAAATTGGGAGGAAAGAAAGTTCATTTAAGTGGAGAAAGATATAAGAAGGTACGTTTTGTTTTGATACATAGAGCGTCAGATTTATATAGCTAGCGTTAGTGTGCCTAACTACTACACCAGCTGAGGAGAGGAGAGCTTCACGCGAAGAGAAGATAAAGTGAGGGAAGAACATTGTAAAGAGATGACAAATCAAGTGCAGGCAAATAACACGGGCCATAGTGAGTACCGCGGAAAAAGGACATTTGAATTCTTAGCAGTTTGTTTATATTTATGTATTTGTGTATAGATGTTGCAACTATACAGAGCTTTAGCAATTGCCTGTAACTATGGTCATGCTAATAAAGCTATTGAATTGAATTGAGAGAGAATGAGAGAGAGAAGTGACAAAATGTGAAGAGGGACAAAGTAATGACAGGATAGTAGTGTGCATTAGACATGCTCAAGAACAAATATAGAGACATTCAAGGAGAGAGAGAGAACACAGATTCAACGGTGAACATGATGTATCTTTCTATTTATTTAGCAAACCACTATTTAGACTATGTGTTTTTGATTGACTTGATTAAGTGGATTTACTACATCAATGTATGTCTTTTCAGGCTGCCATGTTTTGTCCTTTCTCTGGCCAACATCTGGGGACAGTTCAAGTGTTCTGTGGCTCCTGTGGCAAACATGTACAGTTTGTGGCAGAAGTTGAACACAACAGTAAGTTCACTTTAAAAAAAAAATTGTATCTGTTTCAAATGCAAGAAATAAGGATTCAACACACTACTCTGTTTAGAATACTAATTGCAGATGCATACACTAGTTATCAGCATGAAGGACACATTTTTTCATTGTCTGTTTATGTGAAATATGTAGAAGCCATCATTAAATTGTAGACCAACGCATGATTAAATACACAAAACAGCTTATATTATACCTTCATAATTGTGTATTAGTTGTATCTTTATAAAGAACATTATGCATTTAGAATCAGATTTTGAGACGGTGAGCGGCTGGGAAAGTCACACCGCCATGGGGCACAAACAGTTGCTGACGTGATGTTTTCTTCATTCTCAGGCATTCCATAAGGAGGGTCAGGAACTCACGCTTGGGACCACCAGTGTCCCCTCCATCCTCAGTGTGTCCCTCATCCTCAGTGTGTCCCTCATCATCAGTGAACTTAACTGACGTCTCATGAGGGATCGAATGAGCCACCTTTGAAGCCGCAGATTGCTCCATCCCACACATTGGCTCTATTAATATTGAACCTGCTGCAAGATGTATTTGTTATTTTTGCAGAGAGTTCTGCAACAATGTCCTCCGCAGTCAGGTATTCTGTGCTGGGAAAGACAAAGTGATGTATTGTAATATTAAATGATGAAGCTATAATAAGATTTACAGAATAGAATAGAACAATTAAGTGGTAATAGTGACAATTAATACCTTTGCTCCATTTTGTCTTCTGGCTCAGACTGGCTATCAATAATGAGAAGTGCATACACAGTTGTGTAGTTGCTGCAGTGAGAAGACAGTTGAATCATTACTTTCAAATACATAATATATGCATGACAGTCATATTTACAAAAGGATGTCGATCCTCTTCCTGTTTTTTTTTCAATACATTGGGTTCTAAACTGACAACAGCACTTTGTCATACTCCTGCACAATCCTTGCAAACATTTGAAATGGATGCAAGCAACAATATCTGACCTTTGAAAAATATTTGTGGGTGTTTTTTGTATCGTCTTCACTAAGATGTCAGATGTTGTGGGTGTCATTTGGAAATGTATGAAAGTATAGTTGTTCTGCTTCCTGTCAATGTTACGCACTGTGATTGGAGGCTATACAAACAAACACATGTAAAATAAAGATACACAGCAAACAACTGTGTCACGATGCAACTGTCAACCTCGTTTACCTATAGAAGTGGTTCTGACCCGGGGCAGACTGGACCTCTTCCTGGCATGGGGTTGGTGCTGCATCCTATTTTTACCCAGCAAATAAGTGCACACAAAGGTATTTATTGATTTCATGTTCACAAATTCAAACCTACATGGTATAATTACATTTGTAATTAGTCTTACCCGATCAGACGCTGGTTGTGGGTGCCTGAGAGGTCTAATAAAGGTAAACAACAAATATATTCAAACTACTGTACTGTTAAAACATTCTGCTTCTTGTGGCACAAAATAATATGTTGACAATGTTTTATTTTACCCTGCAAACTGTTGTCCATTCGTGGAGTGCTCACTTTTGGAACATTTGGAATGTCCCACACCTGCATTCACACAAAGAACTGATTGAAATACAAATAAATT